GTGAAGGCGCGAATTCAAAGAAATCCCAAACGTAAGCAGAAACTGTTGGCCCTTCAGATGGGGTTAAGCAGAACCACGGTGAAAAGGGTGTTAAATGAAGACTTAGGGCTTCGGGCATATCGAAGAAAAACAGGACATCGTTTGAATGCTCGTCTAATGGACCTGAGACTGAAGAGATGCCGCGCTTTGTTGAAGCGGTACGCGGGAAAAAAATATCGGGAAATTCTTTTTTCGGATGAAAAAATTTTTACCGTAGAAGAGAGCTACAACAAACAAAATGATAAGGTGTACGCACACAGTAGTGAAGAAGCGAGCAACCGTATTCCGCGTGTCCAACGAGGTCATTTTCCATCCTCGCTCATGGTATGGTTGGGAGTTTCTTATTGGGGCTTAACAGAGGTACATTTTTGTGAGAAAGGTGTAAAAACGAATGCAGTTGTGTATCAAAATACAGTCCTGACGAACCTTGTGGAACCTGTTTCTCATACCATGTTCAATAACAGGCACTGGGTATTCCAACAAGATTCGGCGCCAGCTCATAGAGCGAAGAGCACACAAGACTGGCTGGCGGCGCGTGAAATCGACTTCATCCGGCACGAAGACTGGCCCTCCTCCAGTCCAGATTTGAATCCGTTAGATTACAAGATATGGCAACACTTGGAGGAAAAGGCGTGCTCAAAGCCTCATCCCAATTTGGAGTCACTCAAGACATCCTTGATTAAGGCAGCCGCCGATATTGACATGGACCTCGTTCGTGCTGCGATAGACGACTGGCCGCGCAGATTGAAGGCCTGTATTCAAAATCACGGAGGTCGTTTTGAATAAACTTTAGTGTCATAAGAATCTATGTTTTGTTAAGTTCATTTTGGTATATGAATGGTTACATAATGAATAAACTTGTTTCAATTATTTTACATTAAACATGTGACAGAATTTATGACCTGACTAGGTATATATATATATATATATAAATATAAATGAATTGCTGTTCGTTAGTCTCGCTAAAACTCGAAAACGGCTGGACCGATTTGGCTAATTTTGGTCTTGAATTATTTGTGGAAGTCCAGAGAAGGTTTAAAAGGTAGATAAATACGAAAATGCTCGGAATTAAATAAAAATAACAATTTTGTTTTTCCTCTGAAGTGTCCCCCTTCAGACGGATTCCTTTTGTTTGCTTTAAGTTTGTTTTATACAAAAAATTTGGTATTTTATTTATCGATTGAGGCACTACGAAGTGCTGCCGGGTCAGCTAGTGTACAATAAATACATTACCGTCGTTTTGAATTCGTTTAAAATATTTGGCATTTTTTACAACAGCATGCAATATTGTAACATAATCATAAAAATAAACGCCAGGAGTGTACGACTGAGAAGAAGAATTTGTTTATGTTGAAACGTCATTTTCACCGACATCATATGCATATATTTTGTTTATTGTTAATTATAATAGTTCTTTGACAAATAAAAAAAAAACGTTTCCTTTTCTTGTGCGGCAGATATAGTCAGCGCGAATTCACTTATCAGTGCGAACTCACAATCGTCTACCATGAGAAATTTGAAGGGTTTTAATACATTACAGGATATTATCTCTTTGTGAAAGTCATTTGTGATCAATGTTTAGGTTGAATGACCTAAAGGAGATGCGAGGGAGACGCTTCTGAAATGATATCTCTCCTTTTTCGCGACTGCCAAATTGTTGGCTGAAAATAGTTTTTTACTTTTTATGGGTAGACCATGTGATCTCACAGCCCATTCGGTGCTAACTTTTTATTGGAGCTTATGAGCATAAGGAAGTGAATGCTACCACTCACTTTCGGACATGAGATGGAACCCTTATATAACAATCCTGCCATACAAACCAGAATGCATGACTGTTTCACGAGAGACATAAACTTACCTGGCTGAGGTCTTGCTCGCCCACGTGCCCTGGTAAAACTGGAAAGGCCACCGGGCCACCAGTAATCTCTCAAACATAAAAAAAGACATAGATAAGATGGACGGACTCACTCGTGTCGATCTAGCTTCCACTAGCGAACTGACTCTCTCTTTTCTTGACTGAACATCACATAATTACGTAAGGTTGACTTCTAGAAGAGTAGCTACGGACTCGCCGAACAGATGAGATTATTAATAAAATAATATTTTGTCTTCTATATACGTAAACAAGAGTTGCAACATTAGGAGCACGCTGTAATGTAATTTCTTTTTGTGTTCTCGGTTATTACTCGATCTATATGGCCCTAAACACGTCATTACGGTTCCTCCCGATCTATTAACGGTGCTTTTAGGTACCTCAAGTACCGGTCACCGTCCTCGCCGAACCCGTCGCTTGCGACGAAGGGCTCGACGAATAAATTGACCCATAGACACAGCCCACTGAGTTTCTCGCCGGATCTTCTCAGTGGGTCGCGTTTCCGATCCGGTGGTAGATTCTGCGAAGCACTGTTCTTGCTAGGGCCAGTGTTAGCAACACTCCCGGTTTGAGCTCCGTGAGCTCACCTACACGTCAAGGAGAAGCTGATGTAGTCTATCAAGGCGATCAGCATAGGTAGGAAAAAAAACATAAAGATCTATATGAGGTTTATCATCTCATGAACAGCTAAAGGCGGTGGTCGTTTCAAGCACACTCAAATCAATACACATCTTGTAAATTGAATACTGTCACTGGATCGAATGGTTTATAAATTAGATAGAAGACGAAGAAATTACTTGTCTCAATTTACACTGGTCCGCGTTCACCTTTACTAATTGGTTACCTACTACTAAACGTGCCTATTTGAACCGAAGAGGTTAATTTGTGTAATTATGTGTGTCCTTTTTCACCCTTACTTCTAGAATTAAAAAAGAAAGCTGCAGGAAAATGTATTTTCTTTGGTAATCAACTCTTAATTTTGTTATTTTATAGGTACCTACATTTGTTAATTACAACAACATCATATATTTGTTAATTACCACATAATAATATCATTGAACCTATGTCAAACTATTATTGTCATATTCTTTGAGACTTTGATATGTACACTAATTTAATTTACTCTTTTGTTTTTAGTCTTTGGTCAAAATTGGTAGATGACTTATCGCCCACGTGGTGTTAGGTGGTTACCAGCGTACAAGGACAACGTAACGTTCTCACCGCCACTCAGCTTCAGACATGAGGTCGAAATCTCAATTGTTCTTGTAAAACGAATTTCCTACACTTTAAACCGGAACGCCTGATAGCTTTGCAGTCGTTATGATAATCGTCTTATCGTTGCCGCCGCTGACTACTCCCCGAATCCTGATCACGCAGGAGCCAGTCACCGTCGTCGCTCTAGACACGTTTTTACAGATCCAATAACCTGTGCATTAAACGCCTTCAGCTCTAACACTAGGAGCTGGCTTAGGGACTCCGGTAACCGTACTCGTCGAACTCGACAAAGAGTTCGACGTGAAACTTAACCCATGCATCAGCCCGCTGAGTTTCATGCCGGATCTTCTAAGCGGATCGTGATTTCGATTCGGTAGTAGATTCATCCGCGAAGCTACTGCTCTCGAGTTGTTAGGTCTCCTTCAGAGGTGCTCGGGCAGCTGTTAGCTAATCCCACCCCTCCTGGACGAGCTTTTGCTAAACATTCAATCATAAAAAAAGCTTTGCAGTAGAAACGGGTAGGTTGGTGGTGCCTACCCGTGCCAGGTCGCAATTAAGTCCCGTAAATGTCTTCACGGTAATTAAACAATAAATGTAATGATGAAAACTCACCAAAGTCGCGATATCCTTGAGCTTACCTACATCTTATACTTTTAAACGAGCAATTCTTGTATATATAATCTCGGAAACGGTCCAACGATTTTCATAAAATTTTGTATACAGGGGATTTCGGGGGCGATAAATCGATCTAGCTACGATTTATTTTCAGAAAATGATGTTTTATTCGTGTTTTCAATAATAAACTCTTCCCGACATCTATTGGCGAATAATAATACTATTTTTCTTATTTGAGGGCAACTAGCCGCTTTAAAGACACAACAAGATGGCGTTATCAAAAAAAAAAGCGGTCATCATCTAGCAATATTAAAGTAGTTTCATAATAAAAAAAAGTACATAATAGAAAATTGTTATGCATTCAGCAAAATATTAGCATGATATTATGCAGTTTGTTAGCGACCTTGTGGAACGTGATCACTAGACGACTTCGTATTTTAACGAACCATAACGATCAAAACTTATTATATTATCTTATTTTTCTCAAAAGAAGAGTCGAAACTTTATAAAAACATTTTTGAATGTTATACTGAAAACAAAAAAATTGCACGTCTTTAAAACTAAATAGAACATTTTAGATCCATTTTGCTTTTCTGAATATATCGAGGATTGAAAGGTATTTGGTATAAGAGACATTTCATTATTTACATAATTTAACGCGAATTTCTCTTTGTAATTAAACCTGCGTTTTATTTGGTATCAATCAGCATCAACAGTTCGATGTTTTTAATTAAACTTCAATTAAGTTTACTCCATTCAAATAGCTGAAGAAGTTTTTTTGTTATGTTTTTCCAAAATTGAAATTTTAATGGCTGTCCTTCCTGTAAAAGTGCAAAAATCTAGCTTAAACCACTTTTCTTGCTCTCCTCGATATGATTATGCTTCAAATACAATGTAATGAAAAATATTGTGTGTTTCGAAAGTTCTGAAATTGAATTGAATTATTATAAAATATTATAAATAATCAGGATAATAATATAAATGTATCAAAAGGATTCTTTTTTCATTCTATCTGTTTATAGAAAATGTTAGGATATAAACTTCCGTTTTTCATTACATAGCTTACGTAAAATAGAATAATAATTAAAAAAAAACTGCATTTGTTGTAAGCACCAATGGCCTCAATTTATAGTTACTTTTCTTATAACTTATTTTTTGTAAATTAAATTATCTAAAATCATTTCCTTTTAAGTTGCGTAATTTTTTAAATTAGTTTTTACTGTTTTAGAAACGAGAATTGTCTTGCAAATAAATGAGATTATTTTTCCCAAAATGATTTCATTGAATACGGTGGCGAACGAGTTCTTCAAAATGTTGCAAGCCTCTCAGTCTTCGTGGTTAGTTCGCTGGCTGCTTAATGCCCTTGCTTTATCCCAAGCAATTCAACCCAATGGATGGCCAGAGAACTATAAACCATTAGGTAATGATTTAAAATTACGTCTTCTTCTTTTTCTCCACCTTATCCCACTATGTGGGGTCGGCACAGCTAATTTTTCTCTTCCATTCTCTTCTATCAGCCGTCATCTCAACATTCACTCCTCTCTCTCTCATATCGTCATTCACACACTCCATCCATGTCTTCTTCGGTCGACCTCTTCCCCCTCTACCTTGCACTACCATTTCCATACATCTCCTAGTCACATGCATCTTCTCTCTACGCATCACATGTCCATACCCCGCTAACCGTCCGCTCCTTAATTTGTTGTTTACCGGGGCCACTTTCACACTTCCTCTGATATACTCTGATATACTATAATGATTTAAAATTACGTATGATTCATTTAAAAATCAGACGAAAATCAATGGTTCATATTGTATCATATTATTTAATTTGAAAATCAATGTATTGTGGGCTTATAGTAATACGTATCGAATCTATCTTTCGAAATATTTACAATACTTATTTGTGTGACATTTTTTACAACAATACCCGTGCCTATACACAAATAAATAATTTGATCTTGATTGATTTTTATGTTCACGCAGATATCCCAATGTATTTCTGTTTGTTTTAATATACAATGTCAAATTTTTTTTATGGATTTTTTAAATCATTTGCATTGAATTATTATTTTGTGTTACAGACGGAGAAAGATTTAACTTCATCGTAGTCGGATCTGGCTCTGCTGGTGCTATTGTTGCAGCTAGATTGAGTGAAGTTCCACACTGGAATGTTCTGTTAATAGAAGCTGGAGGTGACCCTCCACCAACTAGTGTGGTAATTACACTTTTTGAATAGGATCTTCTCCTAAATTGGATTGGATCTTTCAACTAAACGAAATATATTAAATAGTTCCCAATATTTTTATTGGTTACGGGTATAGGATTCAGGATTTATCCTGTAATTTATATATTTAGTATTTTAATACTGAACTACTTTTACTGAAAAATCGGTTTATTTATAGTTACGAAATTGCTGACGAAAAGAAGCAAACTCAACGAATAATATTGGGCTCCTAAGTCAAGTTTGATATAATTGGTTTTTTTCAAAGCATTTATGGCCCGAGTAGAGTTTCCAAAAAATCTATAGTAGGATGGACCGATGACTTAGTCAGAACGGCGGTGCAGAAATGAATGAAAATGGTGGGCGATCGAACATTAGGGCGTAAAAAAGGGGAAGCCTATGCTTAGCAATGGGTACTAAAGGCCTGAAGATGATGATGATGCACGAATGTGAAAGTACAATTGACTCTTCATATAAATATTTATCTGTAGCCATTTGATTAAANAAAACCTATGGTAGGATGGACCGATGACTTAGTCAGAACGGCGGTGCAGAAATGAATGAAAATGGTGGGCGATCGAACATTAGGGCGTAAAAAAGGGGAAGCCTATGCTTAGCAATGGGTACTAAAGGCCTGAAGATGATGATGATGCACGAATGTGAAAGTACAATTGACTCTTCATATAAATATTTATCTGTAGCCATTTGATTAAAAGTTCAAGAAGAAATAGACCAAATCCCACAGACTTCTAAATATGAAAGGTTTTGTTTGATAGAAGATTTGTTTCTAGGTTCCAAGTCTGTTTGCAACTCTCTCAAACACTGAATACGATTGGTCTTACAAAGCATATCTTGATGAAGGGGTTGGTGAAACTCATCCTGGTAGAGCAATTTTTATGACCAGAGGTAAAATGCTTGGAGGAAGTTCGTCCAATAACTACGAGATATACACGAGAGGCGTCCCTCAAGATTACGAGGAATGGAATCTAGAAGCTCCTGGTTGGGACTGGAACACTTGTCTTTATTATTTCAAAAAACTTGAAAATATGACTGATATTTCATTATTCCAAAATCCTTATAATGCTCATCTTCATTCTACCAATGGGCCTGTAGCCGTTAGCAGGCCAGAAGATAATGCGTATAGTTTAAAAATAAATGAAGTCATGTTGAAAAGTTATGAAGAATTGGGCATCAGAAGAGTTTTGGAAAACAATGGCCCAGAAATAGAAGGAATTTCAAGGCCTCATTTCACTTTTGCTAATGGTAGAAGATCCAGTACTGCTGAATCGTATCTAAGACCCACAAAAGGTAGACCGAACTTGTTTATTGCAAAATATGCGAGGGTAGTTAAAATTTTATTGGATCCCTACACCAGAACTACTTATGGTGTTAAAGTTATGTTACAAGATGGTAATGTTATTAATCTATTTGCTGATTCTGAAGTTATTTTGTCAGCAGGAACAATCGATAGCCCTAAATTGCTAATGCTTTCTGGCATAGGACCCCATGAAGTTCTGCAAAAACATGATATCGATACAATCGTAAACTTGCCAGTGGGTAAAAACATGCAAGATCACGCATATGCGCCTATTCTTTTCACTGGAAAAGCCGGACTGTCTAGTATAATTCCTAATCTTGTTCTTGCCACTCAATTGGATTCGTTTCCAATTCCAATACAATCCGGTTTCTTCAGTTTGGGAGGTTCAGTTTCGCAGAGTAAGCCGGATTTCCAAATTTTTAGTCAAAATATTGGAGCATCGGCTTCAGTGTTGATCAGGTATGGTTGCTCGGCGATAACCAATTACAATGATGAGTTTTGTTATTCGCTTGCAAAGCCAAATAATATTAGGGAAATTATTCTGGCGTCAGTTCTATTACTACATCCGTATTCAAGAGGACAAGTTAGTTTAAGGAGCAACAATCCTCTCGATGATCCAATAATTGAATTAGGATATTTCAGAGATGATTTTGATTTACATAAATTAACCGAAGGTCTAAAATTTATAAGTAATCTAGTCAATACAAGTTATTTAAGGAAAGTCAATGGAACTATACCAAAGCTTGCTGTATCTCCATGCAAAGAGTTCGTCTGGGGCTCAGACGATTATTGGACATGCTACGTCAGAAATGTAGCTGGTTCTCTGCTTCATCCAGTTGGAACGTGTAAGATGGGGGCTGACGGAGTAGTCGATGAGAGATTAAATGTTNAATTTATAAGTAATCTAGTCAATACAAGTTATTTAAGGAAAGTCAATGGAACTATACCAAAGCTTGCTGTATCTCCATGCAAAGAGTTCGTCTGGGGCTCAGACGATTATTGGACATGCTACGTCAGAAATGTAGCTGGTTCTCTGCTTCATCCAGTTGGAACGTGTAAGATGGGGGCTGACGGAGTAGTCGATGAGAGATTAAATGTTCACTCCGTTAAAGGATTGAGAGTTGTGGATGCTTCTGTTATGCCAAAAATACCAAGTGCGAATATTAATGCACCTACTATGATGATAGGAGAGCACGCGTCTGATCTCATCAAAGAAGATTACGGCGTATTTTCTAGATGACATTAATATGTCATATGTTAATGAAGTTTGAATAATATTAATCATACTAGTGAATTTTAAAATAATTATAATTAATTATAATTAACGCTATTATTATCAGGCCATAAATTAAATAGTTTATTTTCAATGTTAAATGTTTGTGATGTTGCAGTACTTTTTTAAATAAATAAATAAATTTTGTGCAATTTAAATTCTAGTTTTTGTCTGTGAGAAAGCAATTTACACCGCTGTGCAAGTTTGAAGATTACCGTTCTTGATGTCAGTACGTATTGTAATTAGAAACGGGGGATGTTAAGGAGTTCATTACCATCACAGTGGGTCGCATATCGATCATTTCCATGACAAAGGCCTCTCCCTCGAGTTATGGTAATGATCGCGAAGAGAATCGTCGAACGAAGTCGACGTTTCTGAGTGATTTTTAATGTTTGAATAAATACAGCATTGATGTCGATTTGATACTTATTTTATTCTCTGAAAATGGCAAATAAAAATTCTAAAGTAAATGATTTTCTTTATCTATTCAACTATTTTGAGTAAATGTATGCCTTTCAATAGAAATATTAATTACTACTTAACCACTTCAGGAACGAATGTTTTAAATACAAAAAAAAACATGAATTTAGTTTATTATTTATTGCGATTTTCAATATGCGGTCATTTTCTATTGAACACAATTCAATAAGTAAAAAAAAACAAATATAATGAATATTAATTTTTAAAAAAAAGTCCACATTCTAGCCATTAAATAATTTAATACAAAAAAAAAAAAAACGTACAAATGCCAATGTCAATGACCCTGAAGAGATTAAACTCGAGTAAGTTTTTAAAACCATATGTAAATACAGATATAATATTTTTGACATTGATATTATGTTTATCTTAGTGTGGGTGTTCAAATGAGCCATCTTGTCAATTATGAGTATAGTAAAAGCAATTAGCCGGTCAAACTCATCATATTAGTTCAAGAAAATAAACGACAATTTCTAAAACTCTAAGCTAATTTTTTGTTCTGACGAAAGGATGTATTCTCTATTGTAATTTATTATTTTTATTCGAGTGTCATTAGAGTTCGACATTAAAAAACAAACCGGCTATTTTATATTGTGTACTTGGGCAAACAAACTTACCTTAAGTAATTGGAATTCAACGCCGCCTAGACTACTGGTCTTTTTTTGACCGGTACTTTATCACGCACACTCATCCAACCCGGAACTAGGATTCCCTGTACTATGGAAACCAGAGACTGATAAACTGACTTATATATGTTTAAATACATACATATATAGATAATAAAAACCCAGACAAAGAACAAACAAACCTTTTTCATCACACGAATGTTTGCCCGATGTGGGCATAGAGCCCTTTGCCCTTGACGCAAACGCAACGCGTCAGGGGCGCGTAGTAGCAATACCGACTCAGTCAAAATTATTAAAAAAATATATAATTATAGATATAATGCTTAAATAAGACAGACCAATAGAATAGCTTACATGTACAATGCGTTCAAAACAATAAATCACATCTGAATCTTTTGGTAGTTTTTCTTTTCGCAGAAATCAGACGGATTCGAACGTCAAAAATTAAAATAGAAACGTTTTTTTTTTTTTTTTAAACCTATGCTGATAGCCTTGAGAGGCTATTTCAGCTTCACCCTAACGTTAGTAAGTGAGCTCGCGGGGCTCAACCGGAGAGTTGCTAACACTGACCCTAGCAAGAGCAGTGCTTCGCTGAATCTACCACCGGATCGGAAACGCGACCCACTGAGAAGATCCGGCGAGAAACTCAGTGGGCTGTGTCTATGGGTTAGTTCGCTCGTCGAGCCCTTCGTCGCAAGCGACGGGTACGACGAGGACGGTGACCGGTGCTTGTGGTGCCTAAAAGCACCGTTAATGGATCAGGAGGATCCGTAATGACGTGCTTTGGGCGACGTNAAAACTTTAGCGCACAAAAATGGACTCCGAGACGCAAATCGCAAGCGACCAACGGATCGGCACGTCCGCACTACCGAATTGTACGCACGATGTATTCACGGTCACTACACTGTCGAGCACAACTGTGAGTTCAGAGACGCAGCTCGCAAGCGGGCCACGGATCGGAAAGCACGTCCGCGCACGACCGAGTCGTGAGCGAGAATGTGATAGAAACGGACGTAATGCAAGAAAATATATATCATAACTAGCGGACCCGACAGACGTTGTCCTGTGAATGTATACACAAAAATTTATTCAATCGATCCAGCCGTTTAGTTGTATAGATAAATAACCTAGATATCGACTTCAGTGCCATCTACCGGGCTGATTTGTGAATTTAAGCTATCCAGGGCGCCACCCAAACGCGTACGTAAAAAATTAATTCAAATCGGTCCAGTCGTTTAGGAGTTTTTATTTATTTTAATTTTTTATTGCTAAGATGGGTGGACGAGCTCACAGCCCACCTGGTGTTCAGTGGTTACTGGAGCCACATCTACAACGTAAATGCGCCACCCACCTTGAGATATAAGTTCTATGGTCTCAGTACAGTTACAATGACATAGACAGTCAGCGACATACACACTTACAGTAGAATTATAGGTATAAAGATAGAAATACTTTTGGCAAACTTTCTTACTACTTACGTTTCATATTTATTTAATTATTCAGATCGTTTTCGAGTCGATTTAACGACATCAATAGGGAGAACTCATTTATTTATGTTTGATCCCAGTACCTCGTGTCCTGTACAAAGTCGTAAAGTAGACTTTGCTTCGTTTACATCACAAAGTCTCGTTGAGAGTTGTCGGGATGTCATTATCTGAGGATGTTTCGTACTATTGGAACTCATTTCATTCTCGTTTGTAAAAAAATTGTTGTTTTGTGGTTATAAGATTTTTATTGGTGAGACTGGTTAACGAGGTTACGGCATCTCTTGTTACCGGAGCCCGTGGACAGCAACGGCTCATTTCTGTAGTACATTGGCTGCGGCGCTGGCTCAGAATAAGAAGAATAACAAGAAAAACTCAAATCACCTCAAAAGCTTCTGATCAGATCCTGATAAGGATCCTGATCTTGATTATTACAGGACCATTCGGAAAGTTTACCCTTTCGAACAAAAAAAGAAAAAATAATTATCCTAATCGTTTCAAGCATTCTCGACAAATAGGTGAACATACATAAATAAAAAAATGGTGGTTGAATTATTGATATCCTCCTCTTTTCAAGTCGATTGAAAAGCGTGAGGTACCAAACCTTAAATAGCTCTTTAATATTCTATTATTCAAAAATATTTTCAGGTTCTACGTAAATGAAGTCGCGTGTAAAATTTAGCGTTATCCCAAAGTAACTAGGTATTCCACGCGGGCGAATTCGCGGGCTAGTTTCTTATTTTGGAACTTAAGCTTGGATACCTTGGATAGTGTTGTGAATCAAGAAGATGAGAAAAGATTATTTTTTTAAATTATATGTTGTTTCTGTCCGTTACAATAACAAATGCAGTCTTCAATATGTTGGAAATGGTGAATTAACAAAATAAATGCGAGATTAAAACTGGATAGTTTCATTTGCGATTTACAAAACTTCTAAATGTGGATCGATATGATAATGTTCATAGTTAGCTTGAAATTATCTCATTGAATTAGCTTGAATTAATATTACTAGAGGTCCCCCAGTAGCCGAAATTCGACTATAATTAATTGGAATTGTAAGTTTGTACACTATTATGATTGTATTTTATACTTCTATAATCAGAAATTTCGCCAAGACTACACTATAAAAAATATTAACAAAGACAAACAATATTTAATCTATTCTCAATTTGTCAATAGTCGTCAAGAACAGAAGTTGACAATAAATAATATGCATGCGTGTGTGCGTCAAATACATGGAATGTAGTGTGTGTAATGTTTTCTTTATTGATTTAATGTATCTTTTATGCATTATTTAAAAAAAATATTAGCATTGTGCACTTCTTCTCTATATTCTTTAGAAGTGTGGAAAATTTCATACTCCTCCGTCCGCGCAAATTTCGTAAAAAGGGATACAAATTTTTTGCTTCACGTATTAATTAATATTATAATCGATTGACGTTTTATTCTTTAATTAAATTTATTAATTATTGAAAATAAGTTATGTCTAAATGGGTGTTTCTTTTAACAATGTAGTTCAAAGTTCAAAGGTGAGAGGGATGTATAGGCAAGAAGTCACAGATGATTTATTATCAATTTCTGCGACTACGTGTATTACTGTCAAGTGTGAATTATAATTAACGAAGTCAACGAATAACACCAATCGTTCATCATCCCAAAAAACGTAAAGTATTCGGAACGTCCAAAACAATATAATGACAATAAAAAATACAAGATTAAACCGTAAAAGTTTAACTAAAATTTAAATTATCATAAACATTTAATGTTTAAAAGTAATGGCTAAATATATTATTAGTCTCGGGAATGTGCGATATTCCTTGGTCCAGAGTCCGTACCAATTTATTTACTAACAATAATTCTCTTGTTTGTGAATATTGAATGGAAAAAAATAACAAGAGTAGCGCTCAAAACACGGGTAATGAGGCGTCAAGTTTGTGTTGATCTCGGGGTAAATGTGCCGGAATACAGTTTAAAACGATCTTTATAAATAACAATGGTATATTTATGTCATTTTCAGTTGATTCAAATTAATTGTTAATCCGCGTAATGTTGCGTGAAATTCAAATTGAAGTAAAAAATGAAGTATAAAAACTGCAAATTCTTAGAATCATCATAGTACATACGGCATTGTGTACGGAAATTACGTTATTTTGTGCGACAATACAAACTTTGTTATTGTGATGGAAATATCGTTGGGGGCGCATTTTGACCCGCCGCCGCATGAAATCAAGAAGGCTTACGATTTTACTTTAAAAAAATAAAAAATTATAGCTTATGATTTTATTTGCCGCATTCAATGTGTTAAAGAATTACCCGGAGAGGAGGCAACAGCGTCCTTCGAGTATTCTATTATAATATACTGCCGTAGGCAGATACTGCGGCGCGGGGAGGGACTTTGGCATTTATAGTGACTCAAAGGCCGCACTACAGACAATCACGAAC